TTTCCTTTCATGTCCCTTCCACTTCATCGTACATAGTCATAATCCATTATGCACTATGTAACTTGTGCTTCAAAACGCAAAGAACTGAGAAAGATGTGGTATCATTCTGTGGAAGAAGCTGATTAAGTATTACGTCTCTTAAGACAGTTGGTTCGTTCACATGCGTTAAATGACGGAAACATTCACAAGAAACGAAGTAGCGAAGAGATATTCTGCATTGACAGCAGGCTGCAGTCCATTTCGTTCTGATGCGATGATTCTAATTTCGTTGGGATTTTAACTTTAGAGGACGTTTTTTGTGTGCTTAAGTAATTAATCTTTATTCAGCGCCGTGTTAGAGGATAAAAAATGAAGTTGTATCCGTGTTCTTCATCACCCGAGATTCAAATACCCTCTAATTCGTGTTTTATATATTATTAAGTTATACATCTATTAATCATAACATATGGAATATTTAATTTCATTTTCTTTTGTGTAAGTTCTAAATTTTACGTTAATTGGGAGGCTCGCGGCTGTCGTTGTCGTGAAGGCCCTACAGCAGTGGTTAAGTCGATTCCTTTGATGTAGCCGCCTGCTTTAGCGAGTTGTTTGAATACGGCGTTTTACGGACTGCTGTGTAGAAAGTCTTTTTTTGGAGGAGACCCTTTCCCAGTTCTCTACTTGAAATCTGCTGTATCCTCGTATTAAGAGTGCTCTGTACGCTCACACATCGACTGGACGGTCACTGAGGGGTATATAGCATCGCCATTTTCCCCCGAAGGTACGAAATGAAGTTTGTAGTTTGAAATTTGTCAGGTTTACGAATAAAATCTCCACGAAGTTTTGAATTCGTACAAACTTTCTTCTGATTTATCTCCTCCATCTTAAAGGTTTCTCATTTCAAGCTTTGGATGGAAATATCATACGCCTGATTGCCGCTACAAAAATCCATTATCGTACTTACACGTGGATTTTCCAACTGGTATCTTACTGTCAAGTTTTGAATAAACTGTATTACAAATAATATGCGCTTCCCTTGCTCTGGTTTTAAACTCCTTGTACAAAAAAAATTTGAACAGTTTATGGTTGCAATTTTTTTTTTTAGTTGCTGGTGATAATGGTCAGTCTTCTGTTTCAGTTGTAAATTGCAGGAATTGAACTTAAAAAAAAAACCTCTCGACAGCACGACCACGCGGTTACGTGTCAACCTCACTGTACAGAAAGTCAAAGTGTGACAATGTTGGTTGACTTTCACAACCGAAGGGAATATCGAATAACCAAATGGAACAGTTGTGCCAACTGCTCAGGAGAGTACTCTAGGGTCGGTGACATAAACAGATCTATAAAATTGCATGCAATTGGTTACCATTTCGAAATGTTTATAATCGCTAATTCAAGGAGTGTAAGAATGGATCGTGGTTTTGAATTTTAATGACTCTTCGCGATGTATTACCGTTTCGGAAAATTTACGTCACAACCGATATGTTTCTATCACGTGCCCTAAATATGAGGGCAAGTTTTTTTTTTTTAAGTATAGTTTCCTCGCTCGAGGAAGTTTCACGTCAGGGAGCTTTACTACAAGAGGAAAGGAATTTCAAATGAGGTGGAAAAGATGAACGAGTTGAACTTAACTAGTAAGAAAGCTAGCTGCTGCCTTCGTGATGATCTTAGAATAAAACAGGAGGGAAACAAGCCGAATCATTAACAACGACGTTTTCTTCCTAATGGCATACGCAATTAGACGATGGACGAGACATATTAATTGGGAACTTGGAGGGGGTGAATAGAAAAGAAGGGTGGAAAGAAGTCTTAGAGCGAGGAAGAACTTGGGTTGAAGAGACAGGAAAGTTGAGACCACGTTGTAGATGAGGATGAACCAATGATGGCTGTGGACAGAGGAAAGATGAATTACTGGAAGATGATGCTGGTTTTGTCTTCTTTCCTAACATTTTCTGTGCTTCTCCACAGTAACAAAATCGAATCGTTGAACAGGTATAGAGACATGCCACATGTCTGTCATGAAACTGACAGATAGATGACTGTCTTCCGGGTTGTTGCGCCGTATACTCTGGTAGAAGTTTGCCGACGTTTCAGAGGTGCTTGCTGCCTCCATCATTAGAACATCCTGTAAAATTTTCAATCCCTGTCCCACCTTGCTGCATATCAGGAATATTTTTACTGTACCCGGACTTACTTTTCATCGTTCTCGTCATGTGCGCCACGTAGGTTTCGTTCTGGAAAATATTGCAGTTTTACGCGGGTGATTCCCGCGTGCTGCTGTACGTAGCTGAGCTCGCGCGCCTCCCGTCGCTGTCATTTCAGAAAAAGATACAGGAAGCTGCTAAACCACAAGAAGAAAATTCAACTTTTTGGGCCTCAGAAATTTCACTTGTTGAGCACAGATTCTGTTGATCATTCCATACTTTCACATTCTGCATTTAATCTCCACAAATCTCCACCACTTCAGAAGCTCTTTTGATGAGTGTAAATTTGTAGTAAATAGGTCTAAATACATTTTAACACATAAACTCATCATTTGGTGCTGTATTTATATTTATATATGTTTATTGTGACACTTTATCGTGATTATTACAGTAGATTCCGGTTAATTGAGCCATCGGTTAATCGGGGCAGCCGTTTATTTGTAACAAATCTTAGTCCCGATGTGTCCCAATTAACCGGAATCCTATATACTTTAAATAAAATAATAATTGTTTAGATAAGAGTTTTGTTGTTCATATTGTTTTAAGGTTAGGAAATGTGTGTATAAAATTTAAGTTTAATGGCAAACTGTGGGTACGCCATGCTTGTCCAACCAACCTACTGATTGACATAATAGCATTGACACAAGTCCTGTCTACGTACATATCTGTCAAGTCCTATTCCGCATTATGAGTCCAATCTCTGAGAGAGTTTGGAAAATAATACATTTTAAATCTTTACTTCAATTTTCAACAGACGATATGCAGAAATTCCTCTGACTTTGTGTTCTTAGACCGACCGTGCACATAAATTTGCCATATGTTTAATGCTTTCTGACTTGAGAATTTCTCATAGAGGTCGAGGAAACTTGAGGTATTCATTCCGAACCAGCATATAGTGTTTTCCTCTGTATACCCCATCAGCTACCCCCAGCAAGCAGGGTGTCATCATCCCTAGCGCTCTGGACTGAGAAACAAAGGCTTATGCTCGCAGTACCAGGTCCCTCGAGACAGGCTTATCTGAAATTAGTGTGAACTAGGCCCGTATCGGCGAATGAGGGTGTACTTAAGCTTGAGCTTGGGATGGGGTAAGGTGCTTATGTCCCAGGGTGATTGCTCCATCCCTACAAATTTACACGTGTATAGTCCACGACTGTAATCTTGAGACTTGCAAGGAATGCAGGAAGTCCACTCCTCACCCCGCAAGTCTCAAGATTACAGTCGCGGACTGTACGTTCAATGATCCGTGCTGACTGCTAGCCTTAAGGCAGAATTGAAAGAAAGTCTTTGTAAGTTAGGAATCATTTTATTATTGGGAAGAGTTCTGTGTGCATTTGGACTAAACAGTCTTTAACATGTATTATTTTCGGTATCCTATTTGTGTCATACTTAAAAGCACGTTGATAATATAACATAATTCGTTTGTTTTATGTGGTTGTGAAATGAATAAGTGTAAACAAATAGTCCTCTATTTTGAAATAGCTTGTTCAATAAAAGAATAAAGTAAAGTAAAGCTATCCCGCTACACGCCACGTACGCGCTTGGGGGGGGGGGAAAGTTAAATCTCCTACTCATTCTTAACCTCGGCATTAGATAGGGGTGAGTGGTCAGTGTGATGTCCTGATGATGGAGGAAGAAAAGACTCCT